CGGAGAAAACCCACGCATGCACGGACAGAACATGCAAACTCCACCCAGAAAGGCCCCTGGACCGGGGTTTGAACCAAGGACCTTCTCGCTGAGAGGCAGCAGCTCTACCAGTTGCGCCACCGTGTTTTATCCTGTGATGTCAATTATCTCTAGTGTTTACAGAGAACAGTTTGAAAATGAGAAAATGCCAAAAATGCCAAGTGTGTGGATGAAAACACCTTGAAGTGGTCAGAAGAGCTGGCAGACATGTTGGAGATGACAGAAAAGTAACAGTAACTTAAAGTACCAAGGCCAAGGTGAAAGCACAACAATTTTGTAGTAGATGGGCTACAGCAACAAATGGCTACACCGGCTGTTACTTCCTGTCAGCTAGAACCGGAAACTGTGGCTACAATTTACACAGCCTCAACAAAACTGGACAACAGGAGATTGGGAATCCACCACCTGGTCTTATGAGTCTCGATTCTCTGGACTCAGAACATCCTCTACAGGCAGCAGACCTGTTCCAACATATCTCGAAGGTGGTCGATTGGATGAAGGAGACTGGCATTGTGGATGCGCAGTTGGAAAGATTGGAGCAACTGCGTGACACAACTATGTCAATATGGACCAAGGTCTCAGAGAAATGATTCAAGCTTCTTGTTGAATCGATGCCATGAAGAGTCAAAGCAGTTCAAAAGATAAGAGGGTTCAGTTGGGTACTAGTAAGGCAGACCTAATTAAGTGGCCAGTATATAAATGAACAGTCAGGGTTGCTTTTGAGAACAATTTGGTTCTTTTAGAACCAAAGTAAGAACTATGATTACATCCTCAGCCCACACTTAAGCTGGTTCCTGGTGCATGTTGGATTCTGCCACAGTCTCCAATTCTGTTTGAGGAGTTCGTAGATCTCAAGATGTTGCACAACCAAGATGAGAGGTCTGAGTCGCTGCTTTGGATGACACTCCCTGCGTGTGTCCCATTGGGACTAGACCCTAAAGAAGACCTAAACCTCTGAGGGATTACATCTCCTCTCTGACCTGGGAACACCTTGGGATTCCCCAGGAGGAGCTGAAGAAGGTTGCTAGGGAGAGGGAAGTTTGGATTTTCCTCTTGAACTGCACTTTGCAACCAGATCTTAGATAAGCAGAAGAAAACAGATTGATAAAAAAAGAAACCCACAACTGGACCAACTTTTAGGATGTACCATGTCCTGGAGGACAGAATCTACACCTGAATAAGTATTTAAAAAAAGTTTGAAAAAATTACTGGGTATGTTCAATCAGTCATTTATGACTACCTTGAGGTTCTAGTACTTTCCAGTTCCAAACTACTTGCACTGCACATCTCGAAAACCAGAATCAATGGTCCTTTCCCTCTTTGAGCAGCAGACAGCAGAGAGAAAGATTGATTCATTTCTCCACTGATCATGTCCAGAACAAGTTTTAATGAGAAACAATGCAGAAAAACTAGCTGTAATCGCATCAACGTTTAAAACAGGAGCAGTTCCACAAACTGTGCCATGTTAACATTTAATGCAACAGTGTGGGGCTTTCAATGCAGGATAGCAGCTCAGTGCTTATGAGAAAAAACATGAAGTCACTTTTCAAACGTTACTGCCCCAGAGTTAAATGTCAACACCCCACAGACTGGACCTTATTACTGGAGCAACGTGTGAATCCTCCGGACGCTGCGACACCAAAACCCTCATCATCCATTCATCACTTTCTCATTCGTCTCATTAAAACCAAGCCGCTGCTTGACGAGACCGTTCTAAAGAGCAACTGATACATCACTTTTGCACTAATTTAGCTGGGTTACTATGACAACTGGTTGACCACGATAAACTGCAAAGCAATAAGGCGAGATGAGACGATCAAAGGGGAGATGCAGCATCACACCATACGCTAATGTGCACATCCATTGAACAGCTGAGAGGGATGTGTCGGCGAGTGGGCTACAGAGTGGGCGCCAAAGCCGTAGTCTACACACACCAACACTTCTCACACGATACTAATGAGCTGTAACAGCAGGACGGAACCAGGTCTTCAAATCCGAAGGCGTTTCAGAGTTTCTGCCGAGGATCGGTTTCCTTTTAGAGTCCGTGTGCAGGTGAAGAAAGATTAAACAACCAAGGAGTATTGTTTGAAGAAATACGAGTGCCTACAGTGATGCTGGAAGGGTTATTAATCCCCGTGTTGAGATTTATACACACCATACTTTTACTTCCCCCCTCCACTTTTGGGAATTTAACAATCTTTGGCATAAAAATGTAAAGGGATGCCATGTTTACGAAAAATAGCACCTAGTGGCAGTAGGTGTAAAGAAAAGGGGTCCGAGAACATATCCCTCTGGTGATGTGTCAAATTTACATAATTATAGCTTCTTTTTTTTGGTTGTTGTTGTGAGTTGACTGTAGTGGCCATCCTGAATTGGATTGAATCTAAAAGTTAACCACTTGTAGATATAGATTTTGAACGTTTCATTGGTTTCGTGAGGTATTTTTCCCAACACAACAAACAAACACGCACAAAAATGTTTATATTTTGGTTTTGATATGATACAATTTGATTAAATCCCCCCAACTGTCAGTTAATTCTCACAAGTTTCTTGAAATTTAGTCCCTTTGCAAGCTTTGGTTGTATATGATCCAAACACGGACATAGTAAATCTTATTTGTTTGAGCAAGTTTTAGAAAATGTTGAGCAACAGGTGACTCTGGAGACAAAACTTATTCCAGACTTATCCAGACCTGTAAAAGGACTAAGAACCCCAAGTTGTTGAGTAAGACGACTACAAATCTGAGCCATTATTTGTGGATAAAGAAACATTTGTTTTGATAAGATTATCTTATACATGAAGCAAGGAGGTGGTAGTATCATGGTTTGAGCAGTCTTTTCTGCATCAACGTCAGTAATTTGACATTGATGGAATAGTTGGTTCTGAATTATAGAATATTTATGAAGCAATGCTGAATCTGTTCATGAACTTTAAACCAACAGGAAAGTGGGTCAGGCAGCACAGAGGTCCCAACAAACACTGAGCAGTTTATGAGAGAACAACCTGCAAACATCTGAGCTCTTCAACTGTTCTGCACAAACAGCTGATGCTCAACCGTTAGAGAATTAAAACATTATTCGTCTTTTTAGTTCTGAAGTGGAATTAGCCACAGCTTCTTCGTTACATTCAAAAAGTAGCGCATGAAGACAGCTCGTCTTGGCAAAGCGCTGTTGGTTTTTATATGTGACTGATTACGTGGGTGAGAGGTGGTGGATCCGCTGATAAGACCTTCAAACCACGGATGAGCATGCAAACATGTCAAAGGAGCTACTGTACAGAGCAGCTCCTACGCCGCACGGCAGTCCTCAAATCTTAGACGTCATAACAGGACGTGAAGATATAACTTTAACTTATGGGTCCAGAGCAACACAGTTCGGCTTCCTGGGGTGGGATGGGGGGGTGCTGCTGTACAATAAGAATACAGGAAACCCAAGCTGTCCGCAGCACTGAGCTGAAACTGGTCTCGGCTCCAGGCCCTGGTGGTCCAAGGTCCTTCACCGCTTTAGTTAAACAGCAGCTCAAACATCAGAGGGGTGAGGGGTGGAGGGGGGCAAACAGAGTGTTCACAGTTGTTCTGCCCCCCGCTTTGACCAAACAGGAAAAACTGCATAAATTCACACAACCCAACAGCTCGTAGCTGCTGACCCAACCGCCGCGCTCTTCAGACTGATGGCTGATTATCTCAAACAGAGCAGCTGACTCCCCAACTCCTACGAGACAAATGGGAGGAACTAGTTTTTACAATGGTGGGCGGGGTGGGGGTGGTGGGGAGTCATCTGCTGATGGGAGAAGAGGAGTCACAGAAGTGTGTGGCAGACCTGTGCGAGGTGCAGCACAAGGGTGAGAGTACGAGGGCTCAGTACAGACAGCTGGAGGGAAACATGAGCGCTTTGTTGGGGGGGGGGGGTTAACCCCTTCAGAACCACATGAGGCAGCAGGGTGGGGGGCACCTCATGATTCTGCTTGATCACAATCACTGAAACTAAAATATCAAACTATGTACACAAAATTAGGAGATCCCAGATTATCAGTTAGCCCTCACTGTACAGATTAGGTAGAATGACTCACAGCTACTACCACACCAAGGTTCAGCTCAATACCTGTAAGTTTCAAAAGTTTTAGCAGTTTTTGTGCTTTCTAAAGGTCAGTTGACTTTGACAGCCATATCTCATTGGCTCCAATTGAATTGCTGATGTACAACGTACAATTGTATTAACAGTAACAGAACATTTGCAGTATTAACATTGGTAGAACTAGCATTAGCAATATTATCATTAACAGTAGTAGAACTAGCATTTGTGGTATTAGCATTAAGAGTAATAGAACTAGCATTAGCAATATTAGCATAAACAGTAATTGAACTAGCATTAGCAGTATTAGCATTAACAGTAGTAGAACTAGCATTAGCAGTATTAGCATTAACATTAGTAGAACTAGCATTACCAGTATTTGCATTAACAGTAATGGAACTAAAATTAGCAGTATTAGCATTAACATTAGTAGAACTAGCATTACCAGTATTAGCATTAACAGTAATGGAACTAAAATTAGCAGTATTAGCATTAACAGTAGTAGAACTAGCATTACCAGTATTAGCGTTGACAGTAGTAGAACTAACATTAGCAGTATTAGCATTAACAGTAGTAGAACTAGTATTATCAATATTAGCATGAACAGTAATTTAACTATCCTGATGCATGCTCAATAATCCAGGTAGAAAAATCCAAAAAAGTTCAATCTGGTCCTCTGGACATTTAAAAAAACAAAAAAACAAAAAGCAAAAAAATGTAGATACGTTTCGTCTCTCATCCAAAAGACTTCCTCAGTCTGAGTCAGACTGTTTGCTTTGTTTTTTTTGTTTTTTTGAATGTCCAGAGGACCAGATTGAACTTTTTTGGAGTAATTTAACTAGCATTAGTGGTATTAGCATTAACAGTAGTAGAACTAGCATTAGCAGTATTAGCATT